GCGTCAAAATAAGCGTTTTTTTCAACGCTCTTTTCCCTGTCTTTCTTTCTCAAGTGTGGAGTTAAAACAGCTGCAGCAGCTTTTACGAGGCTTAAATTCGTGGTGGGGGGTCAAAATCTCACCATGTGGGTCGTTCTCTAGCGAGTCACAAATGCGTAAATATCTGCCCTTACCAATTCTTACCTTATAAGAGGGGTGGGGGATGGGGGGAGGAGCAAAATGATCTGCGTTCAAAGAGAGTGTATTTCGTCCCTGGACCAAAAAGGGAAGGGGGGTGAAGAATATTGGGGGGAAATGGAGGGGTCTGATATTGGGTTTCAACATATTTTTAAAAAATTCCTTTTTAAAATTTTGTAGCGTCGAAATCAACGCATTCGACGGGGTATGCGCAAAATCAACGATATTCGGTCTTGTCGGGATAGGACAAAGACAAACATACGAAAAGACAAACATAGCAAAAAAACAATCGTGGTACAATAACAAAACATAGGACAAGGACAATGAAAGCCAAGTCAAACTTTATAGGTCAAAGACAACTTGTCAATAAAACAGACTTGTGTCAGATAAAAAAGTAGGCCTATAGATGAAGCAAAAGACAGATTTTCTTAACAAAGCAAAAATGAGACTAAAATATACCAAAAATATGTATACATAGTGCCACTAATTAAAATTGTGTTTATAAACTACAGGGTGTCCCACAAAACATGACAGTTGGTGAATAGTTTAAAATGTCTTCTTCCATAATTTGATAAGTTGTTTGATACCAAAAATGATGATAAGAAATACTAAATGATAGTAATATTATAGTAAAATTGATTTCAAAGTAAAGTATGTTTGAGTAAACGATTTGTTTATCAAAATAAACTGCAAAAAGTCTTAAATAACTAATATAGTATCATGGAAGACGACATTGCAAACTATTCACCAACTGTCATGTTTCGTGGGCCACCCTCTTGAGTCAGAACTATTGTTTTGTGAATCTCGGCATCAAGTATTGACTGATCCATCATTTGCAGGTCTACACACTAACTTTATTAATTGATTAAAAGATTTGGTTTAAAAATTCCTAGTTGAGTTGGTTGACTTTTATAATAAAATATTAGTTTCCAGGCAAAGCTGGGTTCCCAAGCTAGTCTGAAATAATTTATATATATATTATATACTTTGCTTGTCTGTCTGTCTTGTATCCAATAAACGTCAAAACGACTGAACCGATCGGGCCCAAATTTTGTGCGGGACCTCACATGATCCCCAGGGAAGGTTTATGGATGCTCAAAAAAATATTATTAAATCCGCAAATTTATTTTTTATTGTTTTATATTGTACAAAGAGAAGATGCTCACAGATAGAGGTGCACAATTAATAATTGAAATAGAAGATGGGCGCCTCATTGATGGATAATTAGAAATTTGATATTAATAAATTTAACTAGTAAAGTTATTTTTATTATATTTTTATTAAACATGCCCTGAATTGTTTACGATTTGACAGTTTTTATCTGTTGTGTCCACGTTAACATCAACTAACTCGCCTAATTCCCTGGGTAGACTCCATAGAATATTTAAAAGAATTAAAAATTTAAAATCACATGACATGTTACGTATAAAAACGATCCCAAATAATTATGAACTCAACAAAGCCAAAGTGACAAACTTCCAACTATCACTCAATTTTAATGCTACAAATTTCTAATTCGTGTCAACGTATCGTAAATGTTACACAAGTTGAATTTTTAAATTGTTCACATTGAATGAAAATAAAAATATTTTCTTTTGTAAAATTGACAGGTTCGCCAAATTCAAAAAAACAGTTAAGTTCGTTCCTAAAATTAGAAAATGTTAGTGAGTTTAGAAAAATAGTGCAATTTATAATTTGCGTCTAATGCGTGCCATGTACTCAACAGATTTAAAAATTGTTTTTTGAAAACTTTAAGAACGCAATAAGGTTGATCGGAATGGTGCGCAATAAAGTCGATCGGAATGGCGCGCAATAAAGTTGATCGGAATGGCGCGCAATTACGCGGATTTGGTCAATAACTAATTGCGTTTAATGCGTGCCATAAGGTTAATTTGATTTTTCTTGGAAAAAAAGAGACACGAAAGTAAACACATTAAATGTAAAAAACCACTTGCGTTGAAAACCATACTGTTATATATCTTTACTCTTCAGATATAATTGTTGATTGCAGATATTTTGAATACAAATTCGATAGTTATGAAAGATATGTTTGTTTCTGAAAGAGATTATATTTTAAGAGATAAATGTCAAACGTTAATCCTTAGATTTTCTGTAAATTTTCATTTAAATAATTTGTTTTGTTTATTACGCAAGTTAAAAATGTTTTAATTGATTTAAACCCACGTTAACTTGTAGATATTTAACATATTTTTCAGGGGAATACTAAAGCATTTGTGTACAGGGGGGGGGGGGCACTTTTTGCGCGCGTTAGGGCGCTACAAAAAATTTTTGTTTCCCCCCTTGGCAACATTGTGCCCCCCCCTTGAAAAACCCTTTTTTGAAAAAACATTGATACCTTTTTAACTTTGTTAACTATTCGATCATATACACACTTCCATATACCAAGTGTTCATAAAATATTTATGTAATTTTCTTAAGTGGACTCATCAGACACTTCCTCTTAATACTGTGGTGTTAGCTTCAATGAGTGTAAAATATATGAGATGGAAACGTTTCTTTCATAGAAACGATACATATTGTATATTTATAAATAATGATATCAAAGATATATTTACAGTTTTCACTGAAGGCAGTATTGATTAAAGCTTTTTAAATGAAACTTTTTTAGTTAAACTCAAAAGTGAGATTTTAAAGTATTTTTTTTATGAGGGGGGGGGGGGGGGGGGGGCCCGGCCACCCACCCCTCGTTTGCCACTGATATTTTTATTTTCAAAATGCGTATCTTCATCGAAATGTTTTGTTATATAAATATGCCGGCCCATTCAGAAGATCTACAATGAACAATTAACCTAATATGCAAAAAAAGCGCATAGAGAAATAAATCTGGGAGGGGGGGGGGGGCAAAATATTTTTGCGCCCCCCCCCCCAAAAAAAAAATTGAACATTTGGCTTCTTGGATATTGGTATAATGGTATAAGATACTTTAAAGGTACACATACATGTCCTTTTACCTTGCAAATTCTACATTATCTCCCCTTCAAACAAAACTAGCAGAAAAAATACATGTTTAAATAAATCGACATTTTATTTAATGTTCTGTAATTCTGTGAACTTAAAAGGAAAAAATAGGTTACAGTGCAGACTGCAATAACATATATTTTTTTTGTGGTTGGGGGGGAGGGATCCCCTAAAAACCCAGCTTAAGATTTGAGAAGTGTGATAGCTCTGAGTTGAAGAGGGGCTGCGCCATTCCCCCCCCCCCTTCACAGGTCTGGCCTATTGACCATATTTGTGAAATTGTTTCGTCTATATTTTCAATTCTCTGATAAAATGGCCATGAGTGACTCCAATAAAAATGAGTCTCCATGCAAAAGTACTCCAATGATGTTGACTCCTTGGACAAATGAATTAAATGCCCCTATAATATATAGTTTTTTATTTATTAAAAGTGAAGGGAGTCGAGGGGGTGCATCTTTTTATTTATTAAGAGTGAAGGGAGTCGAGGGGGCTCATCTTTTTATTTATTAAAAGTGAGGGGAGTCGAGGGGGTGCATCTTTTTATTTATTAAAAGTGAAGGGAGTCGAGGGGGTGCATTTTTTTATTTATTAAAAGTGATGAAGGGAGTCGAGGGGGTGCATTTTTTTATTTATTAAAAGTGAAGGGAGTCGAGGGGGTGCATTTTTTTATTTATTAAAAGTGAAGGGAGTCGAGGGGGTGCATTTTTTTATTTATTAAAAGTGAGGGGAGTCGAGGGGGTGCATTTTTTTATTTATTAAAAGTGAAGGGAGTCGAGGGGGTGCATCTTTTTATTTATTAAAAGTGAGGGGAGTCGAGGGTGGTTTTTATCCTGTTTTATTCGAAGAATCGGGAAGTTTACGTAATAAAAGGAGCGTACTATAGCTTTTATATAGTACACATAGTACATTCGATTTCTAAAGGACAGTATGCCGTGACGGTACATCTTACTCATATACAGCTTAACCCCCCACCTCTCTTCCTCCAACCAAACAATCTTACAAATATGCGGAGGCTTTTCCACATTTAAATTAACTCAATTTGTTACTCTTTAGTTCTAGATATAGTTCTCCTAGTTCTCGTGATAAGATGGGGGGGGGGGGGAGTGTTACTGTCCACTATCTAGAGTCTTAGTGTCTGCAGGCTGTAACCTGTCTAGATGATGTGTCAAATATATAATTAAAAAAGACAGAATTCACCAAAATTACAATAAACTTTTCCTCAAAAAATCCGCAAAATGTTTTTTCAAACTTCTCAAAATTTGAGAGTACAGTTTATATAATAGAATGTTCTTCAAATGTTAAGCATCTTATAGAGGTTTGAATTTTGAATTTCATTTAATAATTAAAATAAATCAATATTGAAGTATAAAATTGTATATTTCTTAGCAAAAGTTTTTAATTAGTATCATTTCACTTCTTGCAATAGAATATTATACAGGAAAAATAGCACTATTCATATAAATGTTGACCAAGACAAAAATTTCTTTAATGATTTTCATAAGATCATTTTTGATCCATTTCCCTTAAGAATTATAAAAAATATTGACATTGTCAACTTTTGATAAACATTTTTGGACATTTTCACTGTGTCAACAAAATTCTAAAATAGAATCTATGATTTGAAAACAAAAGTAATTCCATTTTTTCCAATTTTGCTGTGCCATATCTAAAAATCTTCTAGTAGTTCTGTTAAGTATGTTGCTTGTTTTATTCAGTACAAATTGATAAATTATTTTAGAATCTGCTACATGACTTTACGGCTTTTTTGCAGCCTCCGACGTTTATCAAGTCCAGTAAGCCTCCGAGTCAGTCCTGGCTGCCAGCAGCGGGTATATATTGTGCACCTTTCTCAATCACAATCAGTCAGAAACAAACTTAATAAGGAACTGTTTAGCATCTCCAGAGAGGGCTCTAAACCTATCCTTACATATTTCTCAAACCAGAAAACTACAAGACTCCAAGTCAAGATGGCATCCAAGATCAGACAAAACTTTCATGAAGATTCTGAGGCCTTGATCAACAAGCAGATCAATATGGAGATGTACGCTAGCTTCGTCTATCTCTCAATGGTAAGAAAACTATTTTTTTCAAACTTTTTATGAATCTAGTAATTCTATTTAAACATATTGTTCTGTAAAAAAGAATTTATGTAGTCCAGATAGTTCTATACTAGCAGTAAATTCATTTTTGATACCTACGTCATAACTTAAATATGCCTAACTGCGTAGTACTTTCATGACTTAGTTATTTCTGATCTGTTCTTTACTAAATTTATTCTACGATGTTTGTTTTTATAAGTTTTTGCTTAGGATTTTCATCATAAGTTCAGTATCAACATTAAAATTTTCTTCCGTAGTTTTTATAGTTGATAAATAAATGAAAAAAGCTTGAATGAGTTATATATTGGCTGAGGTGGCTCTTCCATTGAATCCGTACTCTATATTATTATGATTAATGGTCCTACCCCCCCCCCCACTCCCCCGTTAACTTGTATAACTTGTATTTACAGGTTTCACTAGTTTCACCCACGGTCTATAGAGTCCATAGCAACTAGATTATAATCTTGATTTTATAATCCCTCAATGGGCCTCCCAGAGGTTCTATCTCATAGTCTTGTGTAATTTATCAATTACTTTCATATTTTTACCAGTGAGGTCGGATTTAACAAATAGATTTTGTCGAATCGAATTCAGGGTCTTCTGCACTTTTAGATGAAATTAAATGATATATTGGATCGTTCTAAAATGCGATTTTTGGAACCAATTTTAAAAGAATTAATCCTTTATAAAAAAATATGCGTGCAGAAAATAATATGTTTTCGAGTATTACATTTGTATTTTGGAGTTTAAAGCTTGGAGAAATCATGATGACGCTCTGTAGAACTAGAAAAGTAGTAAATCCATTTTAAGTTCAGCTACTTTGCCAATCTTAATCAAAGTTATTGTTTACATAAGTTTAAATTCTTGATTGATATTTTACTGATTTACTAATTTTTTTACTTGGTGGAAATCAAAAACTATCCGAATTTACTTTGAACAACTTGTCAATATTATTAATTCTGAACTTTGTGTTTTCAAATTTATAATGTTTGATATTTTCAGAGCTCCTTCTTCAACAGGGATGATCAGACCCTCCACGGGTTCTCCGAGTTCTTCAGGAAGAACTCTGACGAGGAGCGTGAACACGGTCAGAAGTTGATGAAGTATCAGAACAGCAGGGGAGGTAGAGTCGTCTTCCAAGACATCGCTAAGCCTACCACCATGGAGTGGGGAACTGCTCTGGAAGCTGTTGAAGCTGCTCTAGAGCTTGAGAAGACTGTTAATCAGTCTCTCCTCAACATTCATGTTGCTGCTGGAGAGAAGGGAGATGCTCATCTCTGCGACTTCCTGGAGTCTCACTTCCTGGACGAGCAGGTGGAGGGCATCAAGGAGCTGGGAGACCTCATCACCAAGATGAAGAGGGCTGGAGATGGTCTGGGACTTCATATTATCGACAAAGAGTTGTCATCTTGAATACCATCTTTACTTGCTTTCATCAGTTCCCTTTAAATGTGTTAAACATCTTGGCATAAACATAACATCTTCGGGAACTTAATAAATTATTCAAATATATTTCATTCTCAACAAATTTTCGGAACAAAATATATCTTTCAAATTTCTTAGTTTTTGTTGTTGCAAAATATTAACAGGAGGAGAGGATATAAAAGCAGTGGCGTAAATAAGGGAGGTTATTGGGGTTACTTACCCCCCCCCCTAGAATCTT